TAGGGGCTGGGAATGTATCTCGGTGGTAGAGCAAATGCTTAGCATGTACAAAGTCCTCGATTAGATCCCCAGCACTACCAAAAAAAAAAAAAAAAAATTGAATTGTTTTGTGTGGTATAAATGATCATCAGCAAGTTTTAAGTAATTTGGTTAAATGGAACATTATTAGAAATACTTAGTTGTTGGGCTGGGGATGTGGCTCAAGCGGTAGCGCGCTCGCCTGGCATGCGTGCGGCCCAGGTTCGATCCTCAGCACCACATACAAACAAAGATGTTGTGTCCGCCGAAAACTAAAAAGTAAATATTAAAAAAAAAAAAAAAACTTTAAAAAAAAAAAAAAAGAAAAGAAATACTTAGTTGTTTGAAACAGACATTATTATTACTGTGTGTATATATGTGAATGCATGATCAATGTGATTCTGCAACCTGTATAAGCAGAAAAATGAGGTATTATATCCCATCTATTTCAAATGTATGATATGTCAAGGTCATTGAACTGTCATGTGTAACTAATTAAAACAAATTTAAAAAAGAGAGAGAGAGAGAGAGAGAGAGAAATTGTTATAACCAGGAACAACCGTTGGCTCAGGCAAACCATCTACACTGAGGCTCTGACCCTCAGTCAGAGAAAAAAAAATGCCAGAAGGATATTGACAATTACTAAATATATCTTTGACAGGCTATGTCAATACTTGAGGGAGAAAAGTAATTCGTGTTTGATTTAAACTAATTCTTTAAGTACTTTGGTTTTCAGGTTTAAAAAATAGTGCCAACCAAAAACTCATGTCTGCTTAAAAAATTAACAGTGTAAAATAAGCCAACAAATAAATAGATAAAAATTAATGATATAATTTTAAACATCACTGAGGAAACAATAATTTAGGACAAGGATTTCAAGATTGGTTCAACTGCCACAGATTATTAAAACATTCCAGTCCTAAATTCTAATCAAGCATTTCCCCAACTAATAAAAATGTGTAGTTGTGGGAGGAGGGAAGAGGAAACACTTTGTCTCTTAGAGGCTATGTTCTGGAGAACAATGCCTTCCTCTGGAATCTATGCCATAGCAGACAGGTACACCTCAGGGAGGCTGATACTTCTTAATTACCCAGGAAGCTCCATTCCCAGGGGTTTCTGTTCTCCCTCTCATCCTTCCTCTCCTCCACTAGTAAATAGCTGGGGAGTTAATCAAAGGTTCAAAAGTTGGTGATAACAGACGGTGACAAACTGATGCCCTGCAGCTCAGGTGAGCAGTGGCACAGTGGCCAAGATGGACTTTATGTCAAATTTGCATCAGAGATGGCTGAAGGATCAGGAGAGTTTATTTTCGTTTCTCGGAAAAAAAGAAAAAGAAAAATAAAAATAAATCATGTTCAGACTCAGACACTAGATACCAAAGTAGAATTCTGCACTTCTTGATGACATGGGCAATCAGGGCAAAGGGGGAAATTATGGGAAGAAATGAAACACCTTCAGAAATAGAGGAGGAAACACACTAGTTGGCAGAATCCCTGAACAACTGCATGGAGAATGCCATCAAGGAGTCCCATATCCTTACCTTATGGTAAAACAGGCCAGAGAGGGAAGCAATTTGCTCCAAGTCACAGCAAAACAGGAACAGTGTGAGGTTTACGACTGATTTCCAGAGTGAGGCTCCTCATGCCAATCTATAAATATGGAACGTGGCATTCAAGGGCCAAGCAAAAGCTTAACCAGCTTAAGGACTGGGGGGAGCCAACACAGCGGGCACTAGCAGCTCAAGAAGGGATGGAGGGGGCAGGGAAGCAGCGTAAATCATTTTTAGATGCGGTGACCTTAACCCTAGCAAGTGAGGCAGCATCCTAGGTGCATGAATTAGAATACAGGTCTTTCTAATCTGTGTTAAATTTTAGCTTTGAGGATTCAACCTAAACTCAGAAATTTGAAAGCAACCAGCAACATCAAGGAATAGATGGGGCCCAGGCTGATCTCTCTAGCTTATTTAGAAAATCATCTCAACTAGAAGTTGAGAAGTACTCCCATTTGGCCCCGACAGAAACTCTCCTGGAAGCTCAGGGCAGCCCTTGTCAGCCTTGCTCTCTGGATCTGCCCATTTGTCTCAGAGATGCCTGCCATCTATTACCTCAAACCTAAGAGTGACTGCAGCATGGAATGGATGGGACTCTGGCAAACCTGACCAGAAGACCATGGAAGGGACAAATTGGTCCCCTCACTATAGAATGGGAGGGACACTTTCCTCTCCACCTCTTCCACCCTGCCTTGTCTTTATTCTGAAAAGAACTGAATTCAGTGCCAGCGAGAGGTGTACAGGGGTAGGGAGACAGCACAAATTATCAGACTACTTTCTATCATTCCGTAGGAGACTGACCTCTGCAAGGACAGGCATCTTTGAACAATCATGTATGGTGAGGAAGGGGACAAGCAAAGCAAGAACAAATGAAGCTGGCTAGAAGCCCTCCAAAGCCTTTTAGGGACAGAGCAGAGGGAGAGCCCTAGATCCACACCCAGGAACAAGTGTGGATCTAGGGCTGATTTGGGCACAGGCTCACATTCATACTACTTGGCTTCAGGCTACCTGGCCAGGGGTGCAGGGCTGTCCACCAGAGCTCAGACTGGTGTTGGGACCTGGGCAGGGGCAGGAATTTACAGCTTCATTCACTGACTCTATTTTTCCCTATATAATCCCATTCCCATGTCCCCAAAACTTCATGGAGCAAAACCCACAATTCTTAATGTCCTCTGCAATGCCACCTGCTGTCTGCTCTAGCCCCTTGCTCTCCCCCATTTGCAAGAACTTTCCTTCCTCCCAGGTCGACTTTGACCAGCTTTCCAGGCTTGAAGACCGGCCCCAGCCCGCCCAGCCTGGCGCACGGGCGCGGCCGAGTCGTGCTGGGACAGCTCCGCGCTGACTCCCGGGCAGCTACGAGCCGCTACAAGTGTAGATCCGGCAGAGAGGAAACGGCAAGACCCTGCAGGGGCCAGCAGGGAAGCCACAGACTTTGAGTGGAGGGCATTCGGGACTGATCGATATGGAGGGTAATAAATAAATAAATATATGAATGAATGAATGAATGAATGAATGAATGAATGAACTGCAGCGATGGTGGCGGGTAGCGATGGATTCATACTGTGCCCTCCATTGCTCTAATGCCGCCGGGACCGAACTTCAGCCCCCAGGTTCGGCACCCTTAGAAACATCCCGTCCCCACACGAACACCTAACAGCTCCGTAGGCGCCCAGCCCGCGCGGTGCCGTTCTGGACCCGAAGCCGCTTTCCCCGCAGTCAGAAAGTGCCTGCCCTGGGGGTAGAATGCACTGAGGTGGTGTGGGGCCCCGGAGCTGCTCTGCTCCACGAGACATTGAGCCCCTCGAAGTGGCTTCTGGAGTCGCAGACCCAGTCCCAGGGCCGCAGCTTCCTTACCTGTCCTCCTCTGTGGCCTCGCTCCGGTTCAGAGCGGTCATCCCGGCGCCTACTCCAGACCCAGCACCGCGCTCGGGACCCAGAGCCCGAGAACCCCGCCCGCCCCGGGCAGAGCCCGCCTTCACCCGCCAATTGGCTGCTCTGTGGGCCGGGCCAGCCCATTGGCCAAGACTTCCCCTCTCCTGACCGCCCAGGTGAGGCCCCTATCTCTACACAGATCCGCATTCTGGACTCCCAGAATGCGAGGTCCTGGAAGATAGCGCCCAGGTCTACATACCTACGGGTCCTCACATAGAGCCCCTTTTAAATTTTGTCCTCCTAGTCTTGGAGCGCGGTGCCCTCTACAGGAACGCAATCCTGCACTCCTACAACCCCTCCCAACGTTGAGATCCAGGGTGTTCCAATTTGGGACAACAGGGAAAATTTTTAACATGACAGTCAAAAATCCAGGTCACCAAGAATGCAAAGAATTTTTTACTAGTGGATGGACCTTTATTTATATGTGGTGCTGAGAATTGTACCCAGTGCCTCACACATGCTAGGAAAGTGCTCTACCACTGAGCCACAACCCCAGCATTATTTTTATAAGGAATCTGAGTTGGGAAGCAGTTATCAAGAGGTCAGTGATTGGTGTAACTGACAATAAACTGGGCTGAGCCGTACAATTACGAATGGACCCAGAAGTTTTAGTTTTTAATATTGCTTGCCTGCAGGCCCCTTTCCCCACCAGGTTATTTGGTCCTTGAGTTTCAGGAGAGGGACAGACTCAATCCCATTCTTACTCTACCCACCCACCCACCGTGATCCTGCTGTTATCATGAAGAGAGCCATCAACATACAGAGACCCAAAGGGGGAAACTGTCCACAAACTTTCTGCACCTCAGGGCAGAATCGGAGAGCAGGGACTCAACCTCAGTTCCCTTAATAGCCTTCTACTGGGGCTGGGGTTATGGCTCAGTGGTAGAGTGCTTGCCTAGCGTGTGAGGTACTGGGTTCGATTCTCAGCACCACATATAAATAAATTCATAAAATTCCACTAATAAGTAAAGAAAATAGCTTTCTAGGGGCTGGGGATGTGGCTCAACTGGTAACGCGCTCGCCTGGCATGCGTGCGGCCCCGGTTCGATCCTCAGCACCACATACAAACAAAGATGTTGTGTCTGCCAAAAACTAAAAGATAAATATTAAAATTTAAAAAAAAAAAAAAAAAAAAAAAGAAAATAGCTTTCTACTACAGGCAGCCTAAAGTGGAAGACCAACTAGTGCAAGGGCTACTTCACTCTAGGATTACACACCAGTGTAGTCTCAGGAGAAACTTCGTGCCTGCCTTCTCCCATCTTTGGCCCAAAAAAGGCATTACCCAGGGGTGGGAAGTTTTAGACAAAACCAGCCCAGTATGCTGGGAGTAATCTGCAACTCAAGGTAGTAAGCTACTGCCTTCCTAGCTGCCTCTGCACCCTGCAGATGGGCAAGTGATCTAAAACTCCCACCACAGGGCACAGGGCTGTTGCCATTTCCACCTGCTCAGGGGGCAGGGTTCAGCCTCCCCCCAGCCCCCACCAAGCAGAAGAAAGAAACAGGTGCTTCAGCTGTTGTTTATTGACATACAGGTAGGCTCTATAGCAACAGGCCTGGAGGTGGCTGCAGTGTGGGGAAAATGGAAGGCAGGGGGTGGAGTGTTTTTCTGCAGCATGAACGTCAGTCCAGTGGAGTGCAGGAGAACAACACAGTACACAACAAGGTGGAGTGAGGGAGGCTGAGGCAGTTGGGGAAGCAAATAAGCGTCAGGGTCCGTTTGCATACACTGGAATCACTGCCCTACACCCTAAGCTCCTACCCCAGCTGGCTGTCTCCTGACCCCAGGCCAGGGCTAGGAGTTCTCTGGGCATCCACTTTCTACAGGAACTAACTAGAGGAGAAGGAGTTGTCACCTTCTTTCCATAGCTCTGGAAGCCTCCAGTCTTACGTTCCTCTTTTGCCCCTTTTTGGGTGGGACCACATGATGCAGCCAGGCTCTGGCTATCCCACTCGAGCAGGGTCTAAAAACAGACTTAATCTTCCCTGGTGTCCCAGCCCACCAGTGCCACACTACAGCCTAGAGTGAGCACTAGAAGCATTGCTGGCCTAATGGATGGGTTGGGGAAGGGGATAGGGCAGGGGTAGAAGGGGATCCAGGGATCATCATGGCACAGGTACTACACGCATGGTGTTGGTGAAGCCAGAGCCAGGGCGCCATCCAGTCAGCACAATGACCACATCTCCCTTCTTGAAGAAGCCTCGAGCCTTGCCTGAAGAAAAAAGATTGGTGAATAAAAACCAAGCCAAGCAGGTATGAACCTGAGGCAAATGCCCACATCAAGAAGCCCTGCTTGGTGGCACACGCCTGTAATCCTAACAACTCAGGAAGCTGAGGCAGGAGGATCATGGTTTCAAAGCCAGCCTCAGCAACTTAGAAAGGCTCTGGGTCTCTAAATAAAATATATAAAGGGACCAGGGAAGTGGCTCAGTGGTTAAGCACCTCTGGGTTCAATCTCTGGTATTACAAAAAAAAAAAAAGCAATCAGCAGCCACTAGTCAAAACTGGCCAACAATTACTCCCTCACACCACAAGGTGGTGCCAACCACACAGGGAAAGGGGAAGAGAGTAAAGTCTGGTCAGGTGGCAGAGCTGGCAGGAACCTTTGGACATCATTCAGTTTATACTCTAGAAGGTCAGAGCTAGCTGCTTCATCTCATCCCATGACCTCCTAGCTTTTGGGTACAAAGACCAAATCAGCACATAAATCTTTGTGTGCGCCACTCCACCATACAGTAGCCCTAGTCAATTTTATATAAAGAAAACCTCAGTAATAAATAAGCAGATGCCAAGTAATGGACAATTAATTTCACCTGGTGCCCCAGAGTGAGAGACTAAAGAAAAGGAGTAAGATGCTTAGCCCCACCACTCAAAGACCCCTCTTCCCTTACATTCTCTCTTTATAGAATGGGAGAGGATTCTGAAAAAACATTTCCATTGAGTATGAAGAGCAGTCAGCTGGGCCTCTTGTCCCAGAATGGATGGAGTTTGCATGCCTCCGTTTGTATTCCCCAAACCTACAGCATCTCAGAAAAACCAGAGCTCAATCACTCCTTCCCTTCTAAGCTCCAGCCCTTGCTCCCAGCTACGCACCAACATTCATGGCCAAGTTCACTCGGAGGTCCACATCCTCAGCCCAGGCATCCTGGACTGGATCCTTACACACCACAGGGAAGATGCCACGGTACAGGTGGGCCTGGCGAGCTGTCTGGGGATTCCGTGTCACAGCAATGATGGGAGCACGTGGGCGGTATCTGGCTACCTGGTGAGCAGACCTGAGATGCAATGGGAACAGGAAGAGACCATTAAACAGTGTCCCAGAAGCCTCCCAGGAAGCACAACATGGCCTTCGGCAGTAGCTCACTCTAATCCAACTCACTTCGCCAGCCTGAAAGAGCTATTCCCGGGCCTCCCTTGGAATGTAGGGAACTGCCTCCCAAGGCTGGGGAGCTCCTAATTTTGTACCTTCCCCTCCAAAAGGCTATGTTGCCATTTGCCCTCCATTCCATCCCCTCCCATTGGCTGGCCCACTGGTTGCAAGAACCTCTAAATTCTTCCATTTGGCCAGAAAGGCAGCCCTGGCCCAACCTCATCAGCACCCATTGCTCTTGCTGCCAGCCAACAGCTACAAGCCAAGCACCATGTGAAAAGCACCTGATTCTTGAAAGGGGCAAAGAACTGCAGCACAGGGCTGGGATCGTGGCTCAGCTTGCATATCACGTGTGAGGCCCTGGGTTTGATACTCAGCACCAATAAAAATATATAAATAAAAGATATCGTGTCCAACAAATATTAAAAAAAAAAAACACCCCACAGCACAGTGACCAGCCCTCAGGGACTCAACAACATGACACTTCTCAACTGTTATATCCCCTTCCCTACCCCACATGGTTCCCAGGTCCCCCAAGTAGTCTCAGCAACTGAACTTTAGAGCCTCAAGATCAAACCTGAGTAACAAAAGAAATCTTAGAAGTTCTATGATATAATATAGAACCCAGGTGAGCAGGTAGAACTCTGGGTGCTACACAAAAGGCAAAAACACAATGGTGGTGTGGAAGCATGTCCAGGAACTCTGAAATCCCTCTGCCAACTGCTTCCTTGAACACTGACACTATACATTTAGAGATGCAGATGTGTTTCAGAAATTGGGGAGCGCCTTGCAGAAAGAACTGGGCCCTAGAAGGCAAGCTCTGAGGATACACAACAGGTGTCAGGGAAATTTAAGATGATCACAGCAGAACACTGCTTCAAGTTTGGCCTCCATACACATCCTTCAGGGAGAAATAGCTCTTGAAGTCCAGTCCAGCTGAGTGAAATCCCAGAAGACTAGAGCTAAAAATAGCCAAATAGCAAGGGTTGGCCCTTTCCACAAAGGTCAATCCTAATGGTTGTTTAGGCAAGAGCGTGGAGCCTCTGCTGAGGGAATCCACACAGACCCTGTAACCTGGTGCTTCAGGAAGCCCACTTGCCACTCCTCAGTGCATGGGCACTGCCTGTCTCTCCTCTTTACCCTGACCTCCCCCATCCTGCTGTCGAGGTCAAGGGGGACACTCACCAGACTAGAAGATTGAGAGACAGTAAGACAATGTCCCAGGCTAGGAAGGAACCTCAAATCCAAGACCAACCACAGGCCTGAATACCTTAGCTCCAAAGAATACCAGCAAAATGGCATAGCAACCTTTCCTAGACTGGACAGACTCATCTTTGGGGTGCAAACAGGAACCAGTGTACCAAATAGGGGCATAGTGAACAGCATTAATTTTCCAAATGATTTTTTTAAAAGTACACAGAAACTACTACAAACAAAACTGGTTGTCTTATGCTATTATTTTTTAATTTTTTAGTTATATTAGACACAATATCTTTATATGTGGTGGTGAGGATAGAACCCAGGGCCCCGCACATGGTAGGCGAGCACTGTACCACTGAGCCACAACCCCAGCCCCTATCTTATGCTATTTTAAAGACCAATTTTTGTAGGGAGAATACTGGAGATTGAACCCAGGGGCCCTTTACCACTGAACTACACCCACACTTTTTTTTTTTTTAATTCTAAAACAGGATCTTGCTAAGTTCTTTATGGCTTCACTAAATTGCTGAGATTATTGGTGTACACCATTTAAAAGCTAGAAGACCAGCTTTTAAATATCAAATAACCATTTGCAGTTGGTACTTAGAGCCTATCCATCATTATGCAATTTTTAATAGTTCACTGTGAATCATTTGCTTTGAATCTAAATGATTTAACATATTTGTTGAATGCTGCCTATACTATAGTCCTCCAGGCGCGAGGAAGGAACTCTGCCCATGCTGGGATCCTGGACTGAGGGAGCTGGGAAGGTGGCAGCTAGACAGTCCTTACCTTGACTCAGCATCATCTGAACACTGTTCAATGCCCGACTCCCAGGACCCCCAAGGAGAGGTGCCACAGACCAGGGTATCCTCAGGGAGCCACTGCCACCTCCTACCTGCCAGACTTGGTGAGCACGATAATGGCCCCACTGCAGCACTTGAAGGATGCCTCCACAGCACCCACGGCGGCGGCTTCTGTGGGGTCGCTGGTAATGGGCGCCAGGCGGCGGAGCTCCTCAAATAATTGCAAGTGGTAGATGGCAGCCTCTGCCTCACGGGCAATCTAGGGGAGCAATATCCGTCCAGAGGGACAAGAGGGGGACAGAGCTTTGTCACAAAGGGAAAGGACGGAGAAAAAGTTACAGACAGCTGGCAAGGAACATATCCCTGGGCACAAAGGCCAAGAGGAGCATAGTCACTGGAGGTTTGGAGATGAGCAAGAGCAAAACTCCACAGGAAGCAGTCCTTCACCAGGTGCCTGTGACTTCTACCATGCCTATTGAGACAAAGGACCCTTTGATCCTGCCCTGTCATGACCTCCCTGGCTGCCTTCCTGCAGATGAGAAGAGGCTGTGTGCCAGGGCCAAGTGCAGGGCTGGCTGGAGCAAGCAAGAAGTTGGTTATCCTACAGTGGTACCTGCCCTTGGGGCCCTACCTGCCAGACTCCGTCAGAACTATCAAAGCTGCTGCTAAACACTTATAAGAAGCCTCCACGCTGCCCATAGCCATGGCCTCCATAGGGTCTGTGGAGAGACAGGAGGCTCGTGCAAGTTCTTCAAACAGCTTGCTGTGGTACATGGCAGCCTCAGCCTCCCGAGCTATCTGTAAGGTTTAGGAGAAGGAAGGGCAAGGAAAAGGGATAAAGAAGGAAAAAAAAAAAAAAAAAAAACCAAACAAAACAAGAGACAACACATGGAAAGATAGAACGGGGAATTAATAAGAGAGGAAGGTAAGATAACCTTAGGTTAAATCGTCGTTCAGGCAGACACAGAGGCAGAACGGTGGAAGTCCACCTGCTTTAGGAGGTATGGAGAATTTTGTGCTTCAACTTATGTTTCTTCCCCTCTGATATAGGGGAAACTGGGACTTCCATCCTAGAAGGATTTTTTTGTTGTTGTTAGAGCCATAGTAATATGGTGGGTAGGCTCTAGCAGCTGGGCATAAAGACATGCCTAGACTGAACCCACACTACTCCCTGGCAGAGGACTTGACCACGCTGCCTCATGACACAGCTTATAGCAAGAAACAGGGCCTCCTTCCTCACATGGCTGTCTGGATGAGGCAGGGTTGCCTCATGGATAAAGTGTATTTTCCAAGGCCTGCCATGGAAACAGACTGAACAACGCTGCAAAGCTGGGGTCAACGTAAAGCCAGAGCTACACAGCTGAATTCTCAAATTAGGAGAAGGGAAACTGGCTAACTTGCGAGGGGCACTTTGTACAGCCATGTGAAGATATGGAGGCCTGTGGGAGCATGCAGACATGTTTAACGAGACATCTGATTAAAATGGTCATAAGAAAGCCAGTAAGTTATTTATAGACTGCCTGCTCAGATAAGACTAAGAAAGAAAATTTAAGCTTTAGAGGATTATAATGCCATTATCAGTACCTTAGTGAACGGTAGATAAGACTAATACCATCTTATTAATTCAGCAGTATAAGCAGATGCGTGCCAGGGTATACCAGGTTAAAAGTGTTCTTTTTATAAGAATGGAGTGCATGCAGCCCAAAGGATAGCAGACATGAACAGGAAACAGGACCATACCTGGTACTGCCTAGCTCTTAATATGGGTCATGAATTGCATCAGTTAGACATAGGAGAAAGCCATGAATTGTTAAGGGAGGCTGTGGCGGCCAGTGTTAACTGATGATAGAAAGGAGAGGCCTGTACCACCTGGAGGAGCAGCTACTACCTGGCCCAGACCTCATAACTTATCTTCTGAGCAGTGCCATGCAATCCAAGCCTTGCAGCTCTAAGATGCCTGTCCATTCACAGAAAGACCAGGGTATGGAAGAAATGACATGGAATTCAGAACCCAGAGCTGAATCTTAGTCTCTGACCTCACTACAGTCCCCAAATAAAGACCTCTCCTTATCTGCTGTTAGAGTACAATGCTGCAGGAGACAAGACTGGTTTTGAAGTCAGCAGACCTGTTCTCAAACCCAGGCTTTATATTCATGTAACCTGCAACTACAAACTGAAGTAATGGGAGATATGAAGATTATGTGGACACAGGATTTGACATGATATTTACTAATAATGGCAGGGAATATTTAATGTTAAGGTTATAATTAAATATTTCAGCTAATCCATTTTAGGACAAGGTCTTGAGATATTAAGTGACTTGTCCAAAGACATAACAGTACTCACAATCTGGTTTCAAAGTTCAATAAATCAAGTCAAGGTCAGAGGCCAGAAAGTCACATAACTAAGCAAGACATAGAGGGGGGACATGTAGAGATGCAGAAAGGTGGCTACTCCAGAGGTGATAGGCTGAGGGGCACTTTCACCTGGGACAGACTTAGGAGCACCCTTCCATAGGGCAGCTTTGAGAATATGCCAAGAGTATCTGACCACTGGAACAGCAATCATATCACACAAATGGGGTGATGTATGGATGGCCCAGGGCCAGGCTACAGAAACATCCCTGGGAAAAGGGATGAGGTTTCTACCCATTTCAACATGGGGAAATTCACCAGGATGCCTTAAGGACTAGAATCTTGGGTAGGAACTCAGTTCACTACCAGAAGGCTACTTAAGCCCAGTAACAGGATATATATAAAGTAAAAGAGATACTTAGTACAGAGTTGGTTTGTTTTTTCAGTTATTTGAGGACCTGAAGAAAAGGGGGATAACACAAAGGGCTAAAGGGCAAGGTTCCTTTGCTGGCTAGAAAGGGAACAGATACAGGGAAATTTCACTGAGGTGTATGTTATAGAGACTGACCTAGAACTACCAGGAAAAAGTTAATTCATAACACTTATATTATCAGGCACAAGCAGCCGTAAAAACTAATCCCCAAGTTAATTCTTTGGAAGGTTCCAGGGAGGGATCAAGCAGGACAAAGGAACTGGAACTCTTATCTCTGAAAAGCAAGAGCAGCAGAAGGACACAACCAAGCTGGAAATCTCTAAGAACTTCTTCTCAGGGAGAAAGAACACCCATATCTCCCCAAAGGTTCTCAGTCCAAAGCCCGCAAGGCGCAGTGCCCTTCCACTAGTCACTTGATGTCACTTTTTGGTCTGGCACATCAAAGTAGATCCTATGCTGAAGGCACCATGCAAGGCCAGCTCAGGCAGCGCATGTGGGCAACACCCACCAGTGCAGGCCCACAGGTGGGGAATCAAATCAGAAGGCAAACAGTAAGCACAGCTGGGAGCATGGCCTTTTTCAGAATAGGGCAGAGGCACTCAGGCCCTCTGGACTGTCCAGAGTTTAAAAGTACTAAATCAGTACCCCAGGACTTAAATCAAGGAAAGGAGCCACAGAAACACTGTGATGTCTGATGGAGTATGCCTCCGGAAATAGGAGAGGGTGTGTGAAGGGAAGACAAAACAAACAAACAAACAAACCAGGAGGCACCCTGCACCCCCACCCCCTCACTCTTGTTGCAGTGACTTGGAGGACCATGAAAGACCCTGGTTAAGAGGATGCAGAAGCCTAAAAAGCTCTGTGCTAGAGCTTGCCTCCATACCAGCTGGAAGCCTAGGGCACAGGGTGGGCCCTAATTACTCACCAGGTGCTGCATGCGAACAGCCTCCAGAGGGTAGTCCCCTTTGGCTGTTTCTCCAGACAGCATGATGCAGTCAGCTCCATCAAGGACTGCATTGGCCACATCACTGCCCTCAGCCCGGGTGGGGCGGGGCTTCTTGATCATGCTCTCCAGCATCTGGAAAAGGACAAAGCATTGATAAGACTTGGCCTGTGCTCTCTTCAGAGACAAATGACTGTAAGCTGATCCTTGGGACACAGTGTGTAGGTTCATAGAGCACTTGTGTAAGTGCACCAGGGGGTGGGGATATGAGTGTGTATGTTAAGTGCCATAGGGTCCATAGGAAGAGACCAGCTAGGCTCTACAGCTTTCCCATGCAAGCATGTGAAAATGAACAGGAGAATACAGGAGGGGGGACGTGCCTGTGTAGCACAGATGACAGGCTTCCCAGCTCGGTTGCACCGCCCAATCATCATCTTCTGAGCAAGGAAGACCTTCTCTGCAGGAATCTCAATGCCTAGATCACCACGGGCCACCATGATCCCATCGCTGGCCTCCAGGATCTCATCAAATCTGATGAGAAAATGGGGAAGAGATAAAGAGAGCAAGGGCCACAAGTACAACTACTGACCAGAAGATGTCAGAGATTCCCTGACATAGATATCCATATATAATGTGTGGAAGAGATAAAACTTTCCAGCAATCTCAGCCACACAGGATGGGCCAACAATTCTGCTAGGCTTCTTCAACTCCAATATGGATACTTCACTGAGGGCAAACAAGGGGAAGTGACAAGGTCTCTTCGGAAGTCCCATGGGCTCCTTTTCCCTCTCTGTCTGCCTCCTATAAGGAGCCCCTTTGATTATCTCTCTACAATCTCCACTGTCCAATCACCACTTCCAAGGAAGAAAGTAAACCCAAGGCCTGCTGATTGCTTCTGATACAAAAATGCACAACCTCATTTAGCCAAGAACATTTGAAGGCTGAACATTTTATGTTGGTTCCTTCCCATGTGGTTTTGCCTGATGTGGTTTGAGCCAAAGTCAATTAGCACCCATGGCTTAACAGAATGGCAAAGAGGTTGCTCTTCTCACCCTCCCAAGACACTCCTAACCACATGAGTAAGTCTGGGTTTTTAGCAGTGTCACTAAAAACTGATCATACTCACTTGACTCTACTTTGTGAGCACTGGGAAAATGGTTAAGCTCAGGTGGAGCAACCTGAACCTGGAGAGGACCCATGTTTCCCTAATGGGAGCTGAACAAACCATACCAGAATTAGACTGATCACCAGGCCAGCTGTTTTCTAGGTGAAGTCCAAAAGGCCCTAAGCTTCCACATGTCAAAAAGGAGCCCCTTTCTAAGTACCTGCTATTTCCTATTCTATCAAACACTGATAGTGCTCCTGCTCAGGAGTAGAGCATGATGGCCCTGGACCTGGTGACCTAGTCCACAGTCCACTACACTGCTTGTCCCCAGGCCCATGGAACAATGCTAAGCCTCCAGCATCTCATTCACCTGAAAAACCATGAGAAACTTAAAAACACCAATTATTCTGCTCTCCCAAGATACTCTGATTCAATGAGTCTAGATCAATCTTGGGAGGCCGCATTCTGATAGGCAAGTGTAGTCACAGGATAAATATTGCCCTTCAGAATGCTGAAATGGAACTGAAGTGGGGAAGATTGGGGACTTACCTTCGAACTCCTTCGTGATTCTCAATTTTGCTGATAATCTTGATGTTCTTTCCTTTCTCTCCCAGGATCTTCCTAACTTCATGGACATCAGATGCTTTGCGGATGAAAGATGCAAACACCATGTCTACATCCTGCTCAACCCCAAACTTCAGATCCTGGATGTCCTTTTCTGACACTGCAGGCAGGTCCACAGCAGCCCCAGGAAGGTTCACACCCTTCTTGCTGCCCAAGGCGCCACCATTTTCCACCTCTGTCACCAGAAAGTCAGCACCTATGCAAAACAGAGTAGGGAGGGGAGGCAGAGCAATGAGGGAACACCTCAACTAGAAGATAAGTAGCAGACAGCAAGCCCTTTCTCTCCATTCAGAGGCACACAGTGGGCACTAGAACCATAACCAGAATTCAAATCCCAAGTCCACTAACTGTGTGACCTTGAGCCAGTCTATATGCCTTAGTTTCCTCACCTCTAAGTAAGAATAATAATACCTACTCATAAAATTGTTTTAAAACTCAAATACATCACCAAATATAATGTTTAAGGAGCTGGGATTGTAGCTCAGTGGTAGAGCATTTGCCTTGCAAGTGTGAGGCCCTGTATTCGATACCCAGCACCACATAAAAATAAACAAATAAAAATATTGGGTCCATCTAAAACAAAAAAAAAAAAAAAAAAGTTTACTTAAATTTTAGCTATCATTCCCAGGCACACACAGTCCTGTTTACATCATATTGATGGATGGAATATAGAAGGAAGCAAACAAGCAGATAGTCAAGAAGTATAAAGGATGAATAAAAAGGAAATCTTCTCATATGTTGCAGGAGTGCAATTAGGCTGGACTGATGGTTTTTGAGGATAAATGGGTTATGAAAGGCATTTCTAAGAATGTATTGATTCAGTCTTGCTTCCCGGCTTCCTTATATCAAGAAACTTTAGAAATGGGATGTTTTTAGAACCTGACCCCCACACATACCTTTTTCCTTCACCAGCAGAGAAATAAGTCCATCATCCACATAAATCTTGCTACCCACTTCCACCACTTTGCAAATGTTCTTGTAGTCCAGCCATAGGATGTTCTCATCACACTTCTCCATGTAGGAGTTATCCAGAGTGATCTTAAGAGTGGCTCCCTTCTTCAGCTCCACCTCTGCAGTGCCGCTCTATGTACATGTACAAGAGGGAATGTAAGAATCCAGACTGCAGAAGCTAGCAACCCACCATCTGACAGGAACGGAAAAGTTCTTTCCCCCAGGGAACAATGTTCAAATCCCAGATGAAAGTAATAAGAAAACTTTTATCTTCTTGAATAAATGCTCTTATTCCCTAACTTCATAGATTTCAAGGGAATAATCCAGAGAAAGAATGATGTCATACTACTCAATGATGGGGGAAGAAAGATATGAAAAAATTGCTCCTCAAAGTGAGAGACACTTGGGAGTGGCTTTTAGAGTAAAAACCAGCTCCTCTGTAGTACCATTTTCAAGCAAACTAGATCAAAAAAATTTTTTTAAAACAATGATGAAAATAAAACCTTCATTTGTACACCAAAACAAGGCATCCAGGCAAGACACAGACTATCAAAGAGGCATTTTGGGGGCTACCTTCTTTCTCCCCAAGTTACTTACGCCCTTGATGAGCCCAGTTCGGATCTCAGGTCCTTTAGTGTCCAGAGCCACAGCAACTGGCCGATAGAGAATGGGGTCAGAAGCAAAGCTTTCTGTGGCTGCACGGACATTCTTGATGGTCTCTGCATGGTACTGAGAGAAAGGGGAAAGATAAGTGTCCTCTCACACCTGGATCCAACTCATTCCTTGCCCCAGAGCTGAAGCTGATCACTTAGAAAAGCCTGTGGAAGTTTCAGACCTCTACCACCATCCTCTATTCTCACTGTCCATATACTGGGCATCCTCTATACACTCCCTTTAATGTCCTCAGCCTTAAACCAGTTTTGGGAATGTTCAGAATACTACAACCAAAAATCACTAAAGAGGCCAGGTACACTGGCACATGCCTGTAACCCCAGCGGCTTGGGAGGTGGAGGAAGGAGGATTAAGAGTTCAAAGCCAGCCTTAGCAATTCAGCATGGTGCTAAGCAACTCAATGAGACTCTGACTCTAATAAAATAGAAAATAGGGTTGGAGATGTGGCTTAGTGGTCAAGTGAAACTGAGTTCAATCCCTGGTACCCCAAAACAAAAACAAACAAAAACCCACTAAAGCCAAGGGTTTGAACAGATCTCATCTGTGTCTCTTCAACTGTTCTCTTGTCCCTAGGACTCACTGAGAACCCTAAGCAAATAAAGCAGAAAACTGGAGCAAAAGACCCATGATTTGTGTTTGGACAAGGTTTCCCTAGCTGTTAGGATCAGGTTCTGTGCTTTTTCTCTATCGATCCCAACTACAATTCAAACTGAAAGTTGTTGACTTAAGCTCAAAGTGGTCCAAGCTAAATAATTCATTACTAAGGTCATATGGACCTGGTTACATAATCACATTCTAGAGTTCTAATTAGAGAGGAATAGGAAAAGGTGGTCAGATGCTTTTTTCTGAAGAAATTCCCCTTCACTTGCAATAAATCCTGGTTTGAATCTTCCCTTAAAGCTCTTTCCCTTTGCCACTACTGTTAAATTAAAAAAAAGACTTGGTCAAGATAAGACGTCAAAAGAGCTCTTAGATACTATAATCCTTGTGACACATTACTGATAACAGGGGTACTTAATTGAGCACTTTATGGGCCTTGTCCATGAGGGTAGCAACTGCAAGCAGGCTTGCTTACTATTTGCAGGTGGTTGGTGCAGAGCTGGAGCCATAACCTAATCTCTAAGGACTGTGCTGCCTAAAGGCTGTGTCTGAACTTCTCAGATTGGAACTCACACTTTAAATGACCCACTGGTTTGTTTTGTAGAAGTTCTCAAAGTTACTGAGCCTCATCCCCAGCCCTTTTTCTTATTATTTTTAGACAGGATCTCATTAACTTGCTTAGGGCCTCACTAAATTGCTGAGGCTATCCTTGAATTTGCAATCTCCTGCCTCAGACTCCGAGGCTGCTGAGATGCCAGGTGCCATGCACCCTGGTGTCAAATGCCTTTTCCTCAGAGTTGATTTGATGAGTTAAAGAACACATGAAGTACTCAGAATGGAGTCAAGCATATGGTCATTATTTAATAAATGTTACTTATTATCATCATAATCTTATAGTGACCACTCTTACTTAATCCCAATGTAGAACTCTATGCTCCTAAAATAAAACGTTCTTGATCATAGGTCATAAAATTCCTTTAACACACTATGGGATTTGAATTGCTAAATTTTAGTAATGCTTTCTGCCCATCTTTCTAAGTAAGATTGATTGGTCTAGAGTACTAACCGTTAGTACTAACCTGGTTAGTCTGGTTTTGATACTTTCCCTGTCTGTCCCTGTCAGTGTATTGGTTTTAAAAGAACATGGGGGAGATTTCTGTGCTACTATAATCTCTGGAACAGTGTAATGGAGGATTAAACTGTCCCTTGTAGGATACAAAATTTAGCTATTAAAGTCATTTTGCTTTGAGCTGAGGATGGAACTTACTGGTAGAGCACTTGCCTAGCATGTACAAAGCATTAGGTTTGCTCTTCATCATTTGTCTCTTAACATTTTTAAGGAAGCTAGATGTCATACTCACTTTTCCAACTTTTTAAAGTGATTTGGCTTATTCATATTCTCTACCTTTTGAATAAATATATTTTCTTGGAAAATAGTCAATTTCACCTGTATTTATAGAAATTAAGTCTTTCTTGACCTTAAAAATCTCTTCTAATGTATATGAACTACTTCCTCTTTTTGTGCTGGGGATTGACATAGGGTCTCACATATGCCAGGTAAGCACTCTGCCACTGAGCCACATTCCCAGCCCAGCATCTTCATATTTTTGATCAGACTTTCCGGAAGTTTCTGTTTACCTATTTCCCCACCCAGCATCAACTTTTAATCTGAAAAATTTCTTTTGTATTAAGCTATGCCTTTATATAAGATCAATTCCTTCTTGTTGCCCTTTTAGGTTATTTTTCAAGTGTTTTGAGATGGAATAGTTCATCTACCTTGAGATTTCTGCTTCCTAGAATAAGTGCATTTAGAAGTTTTCTTAATTATACTTTAGATTTTGTTCTCAACTTTCATTAAAGAATTATGTCAGACAATGTTTTTGTATACTTTCTATTTTATACAACTTGAAGGTTTTAAAAAACTTAACTTTTTTCAGTGGTATACTACATTTTTGTAACTGAGTCTTTTAAATAAATATGCATTTATTTAAAAGACAAATATGTCTGGGGGAGGTAAAACAGAGTATATTATAATAATGATTAGATTATTAGGTATTATTTAAATCACCCATGTGGGTTATCTTTGGTATGTTTCTGGGAGATGTGTTGTGTCACCCACTGTGGGTGGCTGTGGTTTGGCTGGCACGTTATCAAATGGTTAAGAGCCAGCCATCAGTGCTGTCCTTGTAGAAGGCTCAGAAGCCTCTAAATTTAGGTTGTTTAAAAGTCATTATTTTCCAGCCAACATGGCATTATGGAAGCGCATGTTCAGCAAGTACACATCTTGCCCATGTGAACTGCCAAAAGCGGGGGCTAGAGACACTGCCAAAGCTGCCAGAAGACCAGAAGTAGACACATGATGTCCCTGTCAGAAAGCAAGAGAGAAAGCAATTTCAAAGTTCTCTGAAGAGTACTTAAACTTGTCAAGGAGCAGAAAAGTACATCCCAGTTTCTAGTTGAAGGTGGGCATGAAGTAAGAGTCCTAAAATGCAGCCAAATTAAAACTGTTTACATGTCACTACACAATACTGGGACAGTTTCAGATCTGTTTCCAAAACACACATCTCAGGGAAAACTTCATCTCATGTAAGGCCTAAAATTAAACTTATAAGAGGGACTTAAAACTAATTCTAATCTTGGAATCAGAGTTCAAGTACGGATAATTTCCAAACACCTCTCCTAAGCCAGCCCCTGTCCTGCAGATGAAGCAGATACCACTAGCCCTTGCCATTTCAGATCTGGGCGGTGTTATTTTACTGGATGGAAGGAGTCATAAAGCCTCATCAAAGGTCAACTCTCAAAATCTATTTCTGTTCCCTCTTCTGCATGGGGAGACAGTGACATACTCCAGCAGGGGAGATCAATGGTGAGCAGATCTTCACTGTTGCATTTTTTGGGTACTGAGGATAGAATCCAGGGGCACTTCACCATTGAGCCATATCCCCGGGTCTTTCTACCTTTAATTTTTGAGTCTCACCAAGTTTCTTAGGACCTTGCTAATTTGCTGAGGGTAACTGAAATCACTATCCTGTTGCCCCAGCCTCCAGAGTCACTGGGATTTTAGGTGTGTGCCACCATGCCCAGCCACTGTTACCTTTTGCATTATCTTTAAGCTAAGGTACCATTTATAGTTAATTCCTGATGATTTGCTGAAAAGTCCCCTCTGAACAATTACAGAATGTCAACAAAGTTATGCCTAACCTGCCTAGGTGTCTGCTGGACCAGGTCTAGCTCCCATGACATTTGAGGGTCAGCCTCCGCCAGGCCATAGGCTGTTTATGGAACATGGTTTGGGAGTCTATGAAGAAGAGTCTCATGTTCCCAGAAAGGAGGAATTCACTTCTTGGATTGCTGTTCCTGAGGACTTATTTTTAGTCCAAACTTAATACCAACTTCCAAAGGCCAGAGGGCAACCCCCTTACCACTTGACCTTATAGGGTAGCATTTTCTACTCTAAATAGAAGTATAGAAGTGAAGACAGGGTAAAGCTTCCTTTTTTCAATCACTGGTCCATCAAGGACAGGATGAGATCCCATGGTCTATGGGAAATCCATGTCAAGTCTGAAAGTTTTAAAAAGGCACAATCTCTCAGGGAGCAGCCCATCTCACTGCACCATTCCTACTCCCCACTGCTCAGAATGAGTTTCATCCAAACTTGGGAACAGAGCCTTCCCAACAGCTGCCACCTGGTCCTAGTTTAAGTAAAGCCCCAGCTCAAATACATTCCCACCAGGCTCCTGAGGAGTGCTGACTGGTTATTTTAATACACCAGGACCCTTGGCAAGGGGTAGCTGGGAAAACAATGCTGAGAGTGTAGACTATCGCATGCCAGATAGTGTTAGTGCTTGAGAGTTGGTTCCTAACTTATTAACAGTGGACATATACTTCTGGACTTGATTATCCTGATAGGCCAGAATTAACCTGTTAGATCACCTTTTGGTTCAATGCAGCAATAGAGCCACTGCAGAAACCCTGAGGCAGGAGTGTTGAGTGCTGTAGCCAAGACACCACAGCTCACCACAGGAGAGGAGTTTCCAGGAGTGCCCTCCATGCCTTCCTTTGTGAGTGCTACTGGTAGCCTAGGTACATGGGAGAATTATGGCCAGTGACAAAGCAGGTCTTGTCTGCTTACGGAGACTTGGCCAGTAGAGGTGGGAAGGAAAAGGAGGAGAATAGGGATGGGCCAGTAAAGACAATGTCTCATTCACAGTAAAACTCAAGACTCATACATGTCTGGTCTACTGTGGCTAAACAAATGTGATGTTCCCTCTCTGCTTCCTACAAGCTGTCCGCAGAACCTCACTATCCACCTGAGCCTCACCTCGTGAGTTCCGTGAGAGAAGTTTAGACGAGCGACGTTCATGCCAGACTTAATCATCTCCTTCAACATTTCCACTGATCGGGAAGCTGGGCCTATCAAAAAATAAATAAATTAGAGCCATAATAGGAAAAAGGATGTACAAGTAGGAAAACCATAAATTTGCTTAAGTTCTTAAAATGTCTTGACATCTTAATTTTTTTTTTCTCTAAATGTTTCCTCCCCCAGACAGCACGAAAGTCTTTCAAAAGTGCATAAAAGACTACTACTATGCTAGCTACTTTCTTGATTTTGGAGTATACTCCTCCCATTTCCTTCAAATTCTGCAGGCCCCTAACTAAAAAGGAAAGCCTAAGGAAGATTTGGCCAGCCCTCTTTGCCCTCCCTGAAGCTCATCCAGACTTCTAACCATAGTATCTTGGTGGCACAGAGCATGTCAAAATGATATTTTCTAGGTCTCTGAGATGTTCTTATAAAGATCTGCTGAGAAAGAACACCCTTGGGCTGGAATTATAGCTGAGTGGTAGAGAACTTGCCTAGCATGTATGAGGCACTGGGTTTGATCCTCAGCACCACATAAAAATAAAGGCATTGAGTAAAAAAAGAAAAAAAAGAAAGGACATCCTCTAAATTTTGCCTATAGCAGAAAATACAGGATACTTTATTGCAACTTCTTTTTGACCCCAGTTCCCACAAGAATCTTTGTAGCAGGCTAGGGTTGTAGCTCAGTGTTTGAGCGCATCCTGAGCATTTGAGAGGCACTGGTTCAATTCTTTAGTACTACATATAAAAAAATAAAAATAAAGGCCTATCGACAACTAAAAAATTTTTAAAAAGAAATCTATGTAGCATCTCACTGAGCACCTATGTGCTACAACATTTTGTTTAGTCTTTTCAGGAGAGAACTAGCCACTGTCACATGAAGTCCGTGTTTGAGGGAGGGATACACCCACATACCAATGGTACAAATGATGCCAGTGTTCCTGGCAGTGATGGGTGGAGAGTCAATGTCCAGGCGGCACATGTGTTCCAGGAATGTGTCAGCCATGGCTGCGTGCAGCTGCTGGGTCTGAATGAAAGCAGTCCCCGCTTCACTATGGGGCTTCGACATGGCTGCTGAGGCTTCTTCTGAGGTCCTGGGTCCGAGGTAATTGGAGAGAGAGCAATTAGATTGAGAAGTGGTTAATATGCCACTTGGCACAGGAGGCTATCTCCTGCTTACACATTAACTCAATAAGCATGCTTTGTGCACAAGCCACAGGGAGGCCAGACATGCTCTGTTTATGTGGGCATTTTTCAAACTGGGCAAAGGATTCCCACAACTGTGAGCAAATGGGAAGAACCTTAATGAACAAATTAAAAACTCGTACCAAATCCATGTCCCTCCCAGGGTCTCTTTTACACTGGGCTGGAATCTACTTTTGATGGCTTTCCCACCAACCCTATAAGTAACGCCATTTTACATGCACTGAAGGAACTTTCACAAAAGGAAGTTGTAACCTATCTTCCAGCGATACACACAACTTGTTTGTACCTCATATTTTAGCTCCTTAATAAGTATAGATCTTTGTATGGCAAGCAGTCTCAAAGCTACAAATATCTGCTTTGGTGTGAAGCACCCACATAGCCCCTTTATAGTCCTCACCCAAACCCAAGCAATTTCCCTGGTTGTGGAAACAACCACTGCCCAGTAAGTCTTAGCTCCAGAATCCTAGCTGCTTTCACTATTCAGAGTGCCATCTAAGTTTATTCTTCAGCTCCTAAAAGGTAATAGTAGGTAACAAAATGTAGTCCCCATCAACAGGAAGAAAAGTAACTAGAAAGAGAACCCTGAATGCAAAATATTTCAACCCAGGATTCTAAAGAAACACACACACACACACCCCTAGTTTTGGTCTGAGAAGTTTCATATATATGCAAAGCAATGCAATTAAAATCAAGGATAGGGCTGGGGCTGTAGCTCAGTGGTGGAGTGCTTACCTAGCGTATGTGAGGCACTGGGTTCGATCCTCAGCACCACATAAAAATAAACAAAATAAAGTGTTCATCTACAACTAATATTAAAAATAAATAAATAAACAAATAAATAAAACCAAGGATAATCACAATGGTACGGATTCAGTTTTAAAGTCAATACAAACTGGGCAAATAATGCATGCCTGCAATCCCAGTGGCTCGGGAGGCTGAGGAAGAAGGATTGCAAGTTTGAAGCCAGCCTCAGTAACTTAGCAAGACCCTGTCTGAAAAATAAAAAATGGGCTGAGGATGTAGCTCAGTGGTTAAGTGCCTTTGATAAAGTGGTTAACTTCCTGGTACCAAAAAATAGAGAAAGTCACTACAAATGGGTTGGGGGGCGTAGCTAAGTGGCAGAGCACTTGCCTGGCATATGTGAGGCCCTGGGTTCAATCCCTAGTAACACACACAAGGTAATGTCAAATTTTTAAAACTATATTAATAAGACAGCCCCAATAAGGAAATGATGTTTCCCCAACTAATTTTTAATGTTCCACCTGCTTCCCTTTCTAAGTCTGACAAGTGTGCTGCCTCTCAACAACAGGACATCTGTTCCAGGCAATTAACCAGCCCAGGTCACAATCCCTACAATTGTCCTGACCTTTGCTTTACTTTATTACTGACCTACAACTAAACTCACTGAGCCGGTGAGTTAGCTGATTAGAGTCTGAAGAATTCAGGAGAAGCTTCCAGTGTTTGGTTAGCTGATTAGAGTACAGAGACCAAGGAGAGGATTTTGGGCAGCATTTGAAGAACTATCAGGGAAGGATGTGAACCAGAAGCCGGACATCCTTCTCAAAGTCCTCAGAACAAGGGCTACTCTAAAAAAGGCTCTGGCCAAAGGTTAGGAATAAGCCTGTCCTTAGCCCTGGCTCCACCTTTCCCCAAATCTCAGGGCCTCAAATCAAGGACCCTTACTCTGGGACAGCATGCATCTAAACCACCTCTGCCATCTCCAAGAAGGCTTGGTAAAGGACCAATGAGCTTTGCGACCAGTCATGGAAAACTGATGGCTACAAGCCTTCAACTATAAAACTGAATGTTTTAAAATTTCACACACCCCCCCCCCCCCGCCCCCGCAGTGGTACTGGGGTTTGAACCCAGTGACACTCTACCACTGAGGTACCTCTTCACTCCTTTTTTTTTCCCTCTTGTCCCGGGGATTGAACTCAGGGGCACTCAACACTGAGCCACATCCCCAGCCCTATTTTGTATTTTATTTAGAGACAGGGTCTCACCGAGTTGCTAAGCACCTCACCAAAGCCAAGTCTGGCTTTGTCTTAGCCTCCCAAGCTGCTGGGTTTACAGGCATGTGCCACTGTGCTACACTCCTTTTTTATTTTGAGGCAGCTTCACTAAATTTCTGAGGTTGATCTAATACTTGGAATCTTTCTGCTTCAGTCTCCCAAGTGGCTGGGATTACAGGTGTTGAGTAACCATGCCCAGCTCAGAACTGAAAACTCTTAAAAGGGAACTAAGATACTAGCTAACTATTCCTGGTGAAAAATATACTGTTGATTTCAATTAATTTTTCCTACCCCTCTAATATATATACTAGGTACCAAAAAGAAAGTCAGTCCTCTTCTCCAGGACTAATTGGTTTTGTATCTCCTGGCATCTAGTACTTGGAGGCAGTTCAGTGTGATGACCTTCTGTCTAATTTAAGGCCTTTCTGAAAGTTATACCTCCTCTCCCGCTTCCCCAAGTCTGAGGAACTCCTAAATTACTAACAGGGCCCCTTGATCTACACTCATGGTTGAGGCATGGCTCATAAGCCTTCAGGACTCCCAGCTGGGCTTAGGTAAATCTGGCTGTTAAGGGAACATCATTGAGTTGGCACATCAGGCCAACCAGAACACAAAGGCCTTGCTGTAGCCTTCACAGAATGTCATTCAGTCCAAAGACTGTACTGTGAAGAACACAAGATCCGGATGAGTGGGACAGAGTCACTCATTCCATTCTCCTGAAAACCCATCAACTGGCTCTTCTCTAGACCTTCGGTCTTCCTTCAAAGACTAGCTTGGGGCCACTTCATTATCAAGTCATACCTTTGGTTCCCTGGGCTTGGGTTTTCGGTGATATATCCCTCTTTATTTGGCTCAGCACCTTGGCCGCTCCTTGGCCCCACTTGCATACATCGCTCAGAGCTGAATAAGGTTTGCCCTGGAGAACTGTATAAGGATTAAGGTAAAAGCCGAGTGTAACTAAAGCTCTTAGGGGTAAAGGGAAAGTTACCTTAATAATCAGGTGTCTGAGCAGAAGCTACTCCTAAAGGTTCAGCTATGATACAGAGAAAACCACAGAAGCATTCTAAGAAATTGTTAATAGAATCCGTTGGGATGCTACACTCCCAACACCCCAAAACCGCCTCACCCTGAAGTCTCTTTATCCTGTGATTTACTAACACCCCCACTACTCTATGGAAGAACTTAGTCCCCCACTGTGGGAAAGGGATACCAAGTTAAACATTCATGAAAGGTCTAAAGGACATATACCAATTTTTTTTTTTTTTTTAAACAGTATGTTGTCTGGGTGGCAGAACTACAGCAAATTTTTTTTCTTTTCCTTATTAATAAAATTTCTAACATTAAATATTTTTATGAAGAATTATACGTATACTTTTTCTATAAGTAATATATTTACAAGCACCTATAAAATTGTTGGAATTAAAAGAAATATGAAGTTCCAGGTATTAACTGTTGCTCTCTCCTTCAGAAATATTCTGCTTAAATGTGGCAGAGGCCTTGGGCCCTAAACCACAGAAGCATTGTAGGCCACTTTCAATGACTTAGGAAGGTCAACCCTGATCCACTGAGAAACTTGAGGCCAAAAAAAAAAGTAATACAGTCCAAAGGACAATTCCATGCCAAAAGTCTGTTAGTTCCATGCCCAAATCCAGCAAATTTCTTTTCCTGTTTAGTCTACTCTCAAGCACAGTACCTTTGTGACAAGGATGTTCTGGTACAGCAGGGCTGTCTCCAGGACCAGGATAATGCCATTAACAACTATATATTGGCGTCAAACAGACCCTATTTCATCATCTCAAATTTAAATCTGAAGTCTATAAGCTCTACTTTTTTTGCTATTAAGTACAGAAATGAAAATGTGTTTGGAATTTCAGTAGATTTACACACCAGTAGTCAAAAAGAGCTTGCTTGGAGCCCTCCTGACTCTCCAAAAAAGCCTCTGCTCCCCAACACAAGCTGCCTATCCCTCCCACTTCTCACCTAGAGTTGTTGGTAAAACATCCTCTAGGATCTCCCCTGGCCCCAGAAAGCAGCCCTGGTTTCTTAGGGTGTACCTCCGGGAAATGTTCCCCTTCTGCCTGCCGGCTGCCTGGACAGTGTCTGCCAGGACATGCGGCCCCTCCCATGCCAGTCTGACTCACTACTGCATCCTCCTCCTCAGGAGGCACAGAGGTGCAAAGCCAACCTCCAGTTGAGAATGGAAGCCTGGTGTGTTCCCTGATAGCAGCAAACACCGTGCCCAGGTACTGGCAAAGGCTTACTCTTGAGCCTGAGCCCCTGCAGTAGGATCTTCCTCAGAGCCATTTCTCCTCTGTGAGAAATGAGACACCATTCGAGGGCTTAGCCTGGGCTAACAGGTGGTAGCAGGCACAGCACAGCTTAACTCCAGGTGCCCAATTCTACCCTTTCCCATCTCATCTTAGTTGTCTCCTATATTAGTTTCCTTTGTGCCAGACACAATTCTTTGACCATTCCTCAAAAACCAGAAGGTAGAACCATATAAAAAAATAGCAAATGCTCTGCTTCTTGCAGGCAGCACCACTGTCAGGTCATGCTGGAAAAGATTCATGCTTCACTCCATCAACTCTACATTTCACAAAGATCCAAATCATTCTGCCCTAATAAACTAACTTGACCTATGAGTCTTCATCTGTTTAAGCCAATTTTCAATCAGCAGGGCTCTCTGTACCAATTATGCTTCAATACCAACCTCATCATACAGACCAACCCAATAATGATGGCACTTCAAGCCCACTTTCTTCCTCAAATATTGCTGGGAGGTCCAAGAGTTCCTTGCTCTGACATCCATAAGCTCTTCATGTTTTCCATGCCAGCATGGAAATTCTCAACTCTTCAGAACTCCAGCATCCATCAGA